GACTGCAGACTTTGTCCGAGCAAGTAAACCAAGATTGAAATATTCAGTTTTTGGTTTTCAAACACATTCATGATTCATAAAGATTTCGAAATGCTGATACAACTGTAATGCCAAGAGATAAGCAGGGTTTTATGTGATTCAAAAGCAGAGCACTAAAAATTGCACCTTCCATATGAATAGATCAGTACAGTACTGCAATTCACTTCTTCAACTTTTCTGCAGAATTTGACCAACTTATCCAGTGCAAGTAAAGCCGTGTCCTTGCAAGTATTTTTGTTGATTTTATTGTTCTTCAAGTTTGCTGTTACTATGTTAAATGACTTAAAATAACTCAGATACATTACACAAGGTGTTTCATGCTGGCATTGCAAGTCATTTGATGCTGGAAATGTGAACTAGTAACTTTGTGTTGGATAGGCAACTCACGTAAATTAACCTGCATAACTTTATATGAATTAGGGTACTGTATTACAAATGCTTTGATCTGTAGTGACTAATACAGTACAAATATTACATGGGAGGAGACGAATTTGCGCGTTTAGGATTGGGCCAAACACCGTCCAAGTTCAAAATTTGTCTCTTTTATGTGTGTTAATGATGACAAATTGGGCCAGCACAAATGACAAAAACAGATTTTGGTACTGATTATCGCAGGCCCAATAAGGTGAAGCAACAAATAAAGAAAGAAATGCAGAGATTAGCAAGTATCATCTGTTTCTTTTTTTGTTTGGGGTAGAAAAGCAATTATCATCTTTGTTCATTCAACCTATAAACAATTTCAGCCTAGAAATAAAATAATTCATTTCACTTTCAATTCATGAAGTTTCAAATTTTGTAGAGTGATTGAGCTTCAACAACCAAAATACACTGTTAATTACTCCCAACTGTATCAATTAACCGAATTAAGATACAATATTTCCAGGGCAAAAAAAAAGAGACACAACGAATTCTTCATAGTTCGTGGCATAGCCCTCCCTGGTCTTAAAGAAAGAGCGCGTGTGGTCCTTGACTAAACCATATGAAAGACTTCTCAATACTTACATACTCCTCCGGTCCTAAATATAGAACTCTTTTTATAATGTAAATTACATTACAAAAAAGATCATATATTTAGCATCAGAGGAGTAATTTAAAAAGAGAGAGAGAGAGAAATATATTCATTGTACCTATCCATATTTCCAACAACCTTTCCTGCCCAAATCTTGGATAAGTACAATGAAGCTTGGCCAAGTCTTGCGTCTTACTCAAGGCACCAGTTTTAAATCCTGTAAAGAAGTGAAAATTTTCCAAATTTTTCTGATGAAAAAACATATGCTTAAAAGTGGCCGTTTACATATGGAAGCACATTTTATATTCATTAGTGACTCACTTAGTAACTTCAGAGTTCGGGTATTGATCCAGATTTCTATATGATTTAACTTGGTTTCTTGCAACTCTAGTATTCTTCGGCTTCTAATGACCAGGCTTGATAATATAAATGTACATAATCATGTTCACATTTAATCCGATCCTTGTCATAACTCAGACAGCAATTTTAACTTGTTATATCCGTCATTCTTTTTTTTTAAAAAAAAATTCTGCACTGATGGTTGCATCTTTTTAGGGAAAATTACACTCAGGTCCCACAGAACAGAATTAATATCAAAAAGGTCCCTCGAAATTGCGAAATGATTCTGAAGTCCCTAGGGACCTGTGTGTAATTAATTCTAATTGTGAAATTACCTACTTACCCCTGTTAATTTGAATCTATTTACAACCTCAACAGTGGCTGTTAACAACCCGAGAAGAGGTGGTTAACAATCTCAACAACGCCCTTGGCATTCCACAGAGTGAGTTGTCATGAGCACTGCCGAGGTTGTCAATCACGTCTTCTCGGGTTGTTAACAGCCACTGTTGAGATTGTAAATGAATTGCTGTAATAAAATTAGAACCTATTTACAACCTCAACACTGACTGTTAACAACCCGAGAAGAGATGGTTAACAACCTTAACAACGCCCCTGGCATTTCACAAAGTGAGTTGTCATGAGCACTGCCGAGGTTGTTAATCACGTCTTCTCGGGTTGTTAACAGCCACTGTTGATATTGTAAACGAATTGTTGCAATAAAATTAACATGGGTAAGTAGGTAATTTCACAATTAGAATTAATTACACACAGGTCCCTAGGGACTTCAGAATCATTTCGCGATTTCGAGGGACCTTTTTTATATTAATTGTGCTCTGTGGGACCTGAGTGTAATTTTCCCATCTTTTTATGCTTATGGCATATCCAGTTGATTCCATTTCCCTAAGAGAGGAAAATGTTACTACTGTTCTTAATATAAAACCTAATTGATTTTAATTCTAAATATAAAACTTATTTCTCATATTTATCAATTTTTTTTAAATTATTCTTATAGGTACTTCTTCAATCATAATCCAATAGAAGAGGAAAATGTGATATTAAGAAAGATGCTTATGGTGTTTGAGAAAAAACATATTATATTTCTTACAATTAACTAACTTATCTAACTTTTTTAATCTAATCAAATTAGTTAAATAGGTATTATATTAAGAATCGGAGGAGTACTAAATATGGAAATCAATGAATAAAAGTATATTCTATGTCTAATTTCTTTTTCTATTTCTACTTATAATAATAAGCAATTTCTACACCAATTGGATTAGCTCTAATGAATAATATTTTAAACCCAATAATCTACACTTTATAATCAACCTTTCTTTTTGTCTCTAAGTTTTCTTACATTTGTTTTATTATATTCCTGCAGGATGAATTGAAATTAATATCTGAGCTCTTGTCTAACCAATTATGAGCTTCCTCTTCTGAGCAACAAAACAGAAAATTAGCCAGCAGGCAATTTAGGGGATGTTTGGGAATTAAGAGAAGTGCTTTTTAAAAGTACTTTTCTGTAAATCGAGACAAACTCCTCTACATATTTATTTCGTATATTGTAAAATCACTTCTGAAACTATGGTTTGGTTTTCATCCAAACACCCTCTTAGTATGATACTTTTTTATGGACTTCATACCATTTTTGACACTCTTCACACGTTTCTTGCTCATCAAGAAAAAAGTTAGTTTAGCATTATACAGTTATATGGACTTTTTAATTGAGTCCTTAAGCATAGTTGATAATTCTCTCGTTTGGCATTATGCTGCTATATGGACTTTTTGACATTTCTTCTACATCAGACAAATTTTTTTCCCAGTGCTGAGTCAGGAAATAGATAGAATTCAATTTATCTTCATTTTGAACTAGAGATGCAACGTACACGCTGGAATGTCATTTTTGACCACCCTGACACGTTTCTTATCATCAAGCTAGAAGTCAGTCAACAACGTTTAGAAATTCAGGGAAATGTCTGGCTTTCCTCCGCTGCCCTCATCCTCCGCTGCCTGTCCGCTGATTGCAAAAGGCACCGTTTTGCTGAAGACTTTGAATAAAAAAAATAGGACGACGGGGATTTGGCAAAAGGATAAAGACAAAAACGTTCAAGTGGGGGGAAGAATAAGTATTCATCCCTATTTGTGGGACCCACCCATCTCCAAAACATGTGTTAGAAAATCAATTAAATACCTTTTCTCATTAATAAGATGAATACAGAAAAAGAGAAAACTTAGCTTTTAGGGCCAAGGTATATGGCACTTTGAAATATTTTTCCAAATAAATTTAGTATCCTAAAATATTTTATTATGCAATTGATATTTTGAAGTTTTTTTTAATGCATACAACACTCTAAATTATATTTTGGTACATCTAGCATTTTAAAGTATTTTTTTATGTGCTCCCAATGTTTAAAATTATTTTTTAGTGCATTGAGCACCCTAAATTGTTAAGTGTAAAATTAAACTAAAAAATATTTTAGAATGCTGTGTATACCTGAAAAAATAGTTTAGGATGCTACATGTACCATTAAATTATTTTAGTGTGATAGATGTACCTAAAAAAAATATTTCAAGATGGTCTATGCGTTTTAACCTCGGCTTTTATTTTAATCAGTCTTTTAGTGATGCATATTTTTATATTTCCAAAGTTATTATCATATTATGTCTTGACAGTCATTTTTAAAATTTATCGATGATCACCCGTTTATAAAACAAGCAAACATTTGGTTAATCTTTTTCAATAAAAGATAAATTATTTTAAAAGAAACTTTTGAAAACTGAAAATTTAAAATTTTAATAATAATTTTTAAAGAAATAATTATCACTGTAAAATTAATTAATCTTAAATGAATCAAATTTAATCCTCACATGTGATTTTCAGGTTTATAGAATGAAAAAGAATTTGCATTTAATTTTTTTTCCATCACCAAGAGCGTGTGCAATGTTTATGGAGATATAAAATATGCGTCACTAAAAAACTGATGTGACATTTCTTATTTATTTGTTTAATTAATAAAGAAAAAGTTATTTAATTGATTTTTTAAAAAATGTTTTACAAGTGGGTGGGTCCCACAAACTCACTTGAACGCTTTTGCCTACATCCATTTGCCAAATCCACTTCATCCTATTTTTTCATTCCAAGCCTCTTCTCATTTTGCTGAAAACGGTGTCGCATGCAAGCAGCGGACAAGCAGGGGAGGAAAGCCAGACCCGGGAAATTCAGTTATGGCCCTCTTCACAGGCTTTTTTAAAGTCAACTTTTTGCTGTAAATTATGTTTTCTTTTCATGTTTGCTGGTTCCTCGTCCACCAGTGATGCAGTTGTATATAGATTTTTATATCAAGGGAAGATGAAATGGTCGTTTATCTTTATCTTCCGTGTTATTTCTAAGATGATATAAATCAAAAATTATTTTGAATGACCAATCACAGGACGCCAGCTATCAGGTTTATGCAGTAGAAGCCGTTCCTTTGTCCCTCAAACAAGCCGAAGGGTATCAAAACTATATAAAGCTAGCGAGTGTGAGTTTTTAGTTTTACGAAGCAATATCTCTCTGCCAGTCTGCTTTGGACTTGCAGTGGAAAATGTCACTCATCTAGAGAAGTCACAGAGAATGGCAGAAAAAGCAGTGAAATATCTTCTCCAAAAGCTTGTGCCTTTATTTGAAAGCGAGCTGAAATTGTTCGGTTGGGTTGGAACAAACGATGCGGGGCATCAGAAAGATAGATTGGAACTTATCAGAGCCTTGTTAAAGGATCCAGATGAATTGGAAGACAGTGATGAGGAACTCAAGATTTGGGCCAGGCAAGTGAGAGATGTTGTTCACAAGACTGAAGACCTTTTGGATGAGTTAGAGCTTCTTCAGAGACATAACCACTCAGATGGGTTCTCTGTTTCTCTTAGCAAGATTTCTTGCTGTATCAGAAACATGAAAGCTCGGTATCGGATTTCTTCTGAATTAAAAGACATGGACTGCCGAATGAGAAATATTCTGTCAGGCCACCAGGGGTTCCTCAGTAGATATGAAGCTGCAGCACGTGCTTCAAATTCTATTTCTACAGGTACTAACTGACTGCCATGACTAGTGACACTGCATAGGATCAGCACTTGATTTTGCTTGTTACGATGCTCTTTTCCAGTAAATTGCATGCTGTTTCCTGCAGCTCACTCAGCTAAAGCTAGAATTTTCACAAAGCCAGATTGGAACCCCTTTTTTTCTTTTGAAGATTTCCTTATCTTGTTATCAGGGATGGAGGAAAGAAAGACAGAGTTAGAGATAAAACCATCCTTCAGGATTTTTGACCCCCCCCCCCCAGACCCAGACCAAGACCCACAAAAAAAAAAAAGAAAAGAAGAAGAAGCAAAAAGACAACTTAGCTCTCTTGGGGATAGTTGATGATTTGCAGATGTCTGATCAAAGAGTTGTAGATTCTGAAAGTTTTAAAAGAAAAAAGGGAAATCTATTTATTGTTACTGACACCTAAATTTGCAAGAGTATAACACTAAACTACCTTAACAAGTAGGCATGCTCATAATTGAATTGATTTCCATAACAAGTTACGTAGGGCCAGCACTAGATTCTGCTCATACTGACTCTTTTCCATATGTTCCAACTAAAATAGTGGCGAGATTTTGAGAAAACTGCATGCTGGTTCGTGTTTATGCTCATTCAAATCAAGCTAGATTTAACCCCCTTTGGCTTTTGAAGGTTATTATCAGGGGAAAAGGGAATAAAGATGGTCTCAGAGATAAAGCATCAAAACCCACCTTTGTTATTTTTCTTTCTCCCAACAATTTAAGCCTTTGAGGGTAGTTGTTTGATTTGCAGAAGTTTCATCAAACAGTTGTAGTTTATTAAAGCTGCTATACTAACAAGGAAGGCATGTTAATTCATTTGTAAGAATAGTGTACTGAACTATCTTATTGAGCAGTAAACACATGGCATGATCAACGAGGGGATGCTCTTCTCCTGGACAGCAACGATCTAGTGGGCATAGACAGACAAAAAAATCAGTTCATTGAGTGGTTGGTCAGAGGTTGTTCCAGCCGTGAAGTAATATCTGTGGCAGGAATGGGAGGACTGGGGAAGACAACGCTCGTGAAAAAAGTATATGATGATCCAGAAGTGAAAATACATTTCAAAACCTGCGCCTGGGTTACTGTTTCTCACTCTTCTTGTACTGAGGAACTTCTTAAAGACACAGTCAAAAAGCTCTTTCATGAAATAAGACGGCCAGTTCCAGAAGGCTTGGAAAGCATGAAGGGTGATCAGTTGAAGGTGATTATCAAGAAGTTGCTGAAGAGAAGGAGATACCTTGTGGTGTTTGATGATGTGTGGCACATGTATGAATGGGAAGCTGTAAAATATGCATTGCCTAACAACACTTGTGGCAGTAGAGTTATGATCACCACAAGAAAAACTGATTTGGCTTCTATCTCTAGCATAGAATCCAAAGGCAAGGTGTACAGCATGCAACGCTTATCAGAAGATGAAGCTTGGGATCTATTTTGCAGGAAAACATTTCCTGATCATTCATGCCCCTCATATTTGGTGTGCATATGCAAGAGTATCTTGAGAAAATGTGAGGGTCTTCCCCTTGCAATTGTGGCAGTCAGTGGCATTTTGGCTACAAAAGACAGGCGAGCTATAGATGAGTGGGACATGCTATGCCGTTGCCTTGGAGCTGAAATTCAAGGCAATGACAAGCTTGATAATTTGAAGAAAGTACTCGGCCTCAGTTTCAGTGATTTGCCTCACCAGTTGAAGCACTGTATCTTGTACTTGAGCATCTTTCCTGAGGCCTATCTGATTAAGCGGATGAGATTGATTCGGTTATGGATGGCAGAAGGATTCATTGAAGCCAAAGAAGGAAGAACACTTGAAGAAGTTGCAGAGGATTATCTCAAGGAGCTGTTGAACAGAAACTTGATACAAGTTGCAAAGACAACGTCAGGTGGAAGGGTAAAAACTCTCCGCATCCATGCCCTTCTGAGAGAAATTCTCATTTTGAAATCAAAAGATCAAAACTTTGCAGCCATTATCAATGAGAAAAGTGCAGCATGGCCCGAAAGGACTCGACGCCTTTCAGTGCATAGTACATTTCCAAAAGGGCAAAATCAAAGGTCTGTGTCTCAACTTCGTTCCCTTTTCATGTTTAGGGTTGCAGAGAAATTCTCCCTACATAAATTGTTTCCTGGTGGTTTCAGACTGCTTAATGTTCTAGATTTTGAAAAAGCACCTTTGAAGAAGTTTCCGGTACAAATTACTGATCTGTATCATTTGAAATATCTAAGTTTAAGGAAAACAAAGGTAAAAACTATTCCAAGCTCTATAGGGAAGTTGCAGAACCTAGAAACATTAGATGTCAAATACAATTCTGTCACAGAATTGCCGGCTGATATAACAAAGCTTCACAAACTTCGCCATCTCCTGGTGTATCATTATCATACCAAAGTCAGAAGTTATGCCCATGCCAAATGCGGTTTCAAAGCCCTCCATGGAATAGGAAATCTCCAGTCACTACAAAAGCTTTGTTTCATGGAGGTAGATCAATGCTGCATCCCCCTAATAAAGCAGCTGGAAGGACTAACTCAACTAAGGAGGCTAGGCATCATGAAGCTAAGAGAGGAAGACAGTAGGGCTTTTTGTTCATCCATTGAGAGGTTAACAAATCTACGCGCACTCTCAGTAACTTCGGAGGGTGAGAATAAGGCCATTGATCTCAGGTTCCTATGCTCACCTCATCCATTTCTTCAACGATTGTATCTGTCAGGACACTTACATGAGCTCCCAATGTGGATACCTTCACTTCACAGCCTGGTCAAGTTAATTCTCAAATGGAGCAATTTAAAACATGATCCACTGGTGTATCTACAGGATTTGCCCAATCTTGCACATCTCGAACTACTTCAGGTTTATGATGGTGACACACTATGTTTTGAGTCTGGAAAATTCAAGAAGCTTAAGGTTTTAGGTCTTGACAAGTTTGATGGACTAAGACAGGTGAATGTGGAGAAAGATGCAATGCCTTGCCTGGAAAAGCTTATAATCCAGCGTTGTGAGCTGCTAAAGAATGTGCCATCGGGCATACAACACTTGACTAAGCTGAAAACCCTTGAGTTTTTCGATATGCCTGATGAACTGATCATGACATTATATCCAGATGATAGGGGAGAAGATTACTGGAAAGTTGCACACATACCAGAAGTCTATTTTACCTACTGGAGGGATGGTGGTTGGGATGTTTATGCACTAGAGAGCTTCAAAGAGAGTTCCCCTCGTTCTGGTATTGTAATGAGAAGTCATGAACATCGCAATCTATGGAAAGTATAATTTCAGGTTGTGTCATGTAATATTGTTAAGTCTCATCAAACAAAGATGTATCTTTTAGTCCGCCTTCATCTAAGATTTAGGAAAAGACTTATGGTAAATAGTGTGAAGAAAAGTTACAGTCTAATCATAATTCTGTGTGGAGTGTAAACGACTTGTAATTTAATCTTTGAATAAATCCCATACTTTTTATTATTCTGATTCTTAATGGACTGTACAGTAAATGAAGCAGATAAGCTGGAGGAAAGCAATGCATCCATTAGTTTTTCTGTACTTTTGCTTTCTTTGCTTCTCATCAAACTGGCCTTGTGATTTTATCCTCACAAAGTTGAGTAGGATATGCCTATTTAATTTGCAAGAATAAATTTGTTTTAGATTTAGTTATTTATCAGTTGTAATAAATGATCATGCAAGACTGTAATTAACACTATTAATAGTTGTCAGGATCTAATCTATAACCTAGGAGTGACTATGTCAAGACTGGAGTATTTGCAGCCTCCGTGCCTCGATAACAAAACCACTAACAATGTCCTGCCTGGCAGATATCGCATAAATTGAATGGTTTCACTGTTCTTTAATTTTACGAGATGGTTTCATTTTTTCTTTCTCCTTGCTGACTTGTAAGGTCAACTGTGGCATTCTAATCGTTCCTAGAAACCCCAGACTGAACTAGTCCAGCGAATATATGATTAATTATATTCAAACGAAATTTCGAAGCCAGAAACATTGTCTCAATTTTTGCCAAAAGAAACCTCAAAAATGTAGTTTTCCCCTCGAGGTAGATATCAACGTGGACGACAAAATTATGAAATTTCTACAGGGCACATCTGCAGATTGCTGCTAGCTGTGATCTGCCAACCTGCTCTACTTTCTTACTGCAGGTCTTCTTTAATTAAAGTTTGCGTCCAGTTCTCCCATAACTATGATATTATTACCTCTCCCTGAAAATTTCTGACAGCTCCTCTTGAGCTTTAGCTTCTTGATCAGACTTTGATACCAGTACAGTACTTCAGAATCAGCACCAGATAGTTTGCTTCCCTGGCGAGCCTACGACTGACCAGAATGTTGAAGCCGTATTAAAGAAGCTGCTTTTGTGTTTTTTAAGAAAACAATTCATTAACAACTACCTTAGTAGAATTTGTCTCAGTAGAAGAGGAAGAAAAGGCCACAACTAACATTCTGAAATGTATCATTCATTTAAGTAACAGAAGCAAAAAGAACAAACTTTTGGTTTTGTTACTGACAAATACTTTATTAGAAATCACGACTTTGTTGAAGCGAATTCACAACTAATCTTTTGAAATGAATAATTAGATTTGTTTTGTAAATGGTTTGGAAATTCAAGTTTAATGGTTATATATACTTTTGGAAAGCCTTGAGATTGCAAATTCAAATACCACCCTTGATTACATTTCACTTCCTGACATTCAACTCCGGTGGCTTCAGAACTGATGGCCAGCAAGTGGTGACCCCGATGATGGGCTAATAATTCTAGTGGCCGACGATGATGGTCTGACATTGACGGTGGAGCTTGATGGCCGGCCGGCGGCCATGATGAACGCTTTTTATCTTGGTTTGGAGAAGTTGAGTGCATTTTATGCAAATGACCATTTAAATCTCTAGGATTGCAACGAGGTCTAAAAAATTCAAAAAAATTTTGGCTTTGAAATGTAGATATTGGTCTTCTAAGAGCCTTAAATAGATGAGATTCTCCCTGAAATAATTTAACCCATTCCCAATTCATGAAGTTGGATACTTATCATTTATTGGAAAAATTACACACAGGTCCCACAAAAGACAATTAATTCTGAAAAACTCCCTAGAAATCCTCAAATGCTTCCTAAATCCCCAAGGACCTCAGAGTAAAAAATTAAAATTGTGAAATTACCTACTTGCCCTCAATGATTGAAAAGGTTGTTATTAGCTGCTGTGTAGGGTGTGACTGTATACTGTGCATGTTGTCATTCGGTTGAGTGTGAGTTGTGATTAGCTTATGTACATGTTATGAATGGCTTAAATATAGGTTGTAACTGTATGCTGTGTATGTTATCATTCAGTGAGGGTAAGTAGGTAATTTTATAATTTTAATTTTTTGTTTTGAGGTCCTTGAGGACTTAGAAAGCATTTGGGGATTTTCATAGACTTTTTCAGAATTAATTATCTTTTACGAGGCCTGTGTGTAATTTTTTTCTCATTCATTAGAGAGAGCTTGGGTTTTAATTAACTCTATCAGCTAAGATACAATTTGTGAACGCAAGAATTAAGATGCAATGAGTTTTTCATAGCATAGCTCTCTTAAACTAAGCATTGCTTGGTCCTTGATTGGATCATAGAAAAAGACCTCTCAACATATATGTGTGTGTACATGAAAAACTCCAGCAACTTTCAGGCCATTATATATATATATATATATATATATATAAAAGTCCAGCAACCTTGTTAATTTCCGTATTCTCGGGCAAATCTTGCGTTTTTAATTCATGGTACCGATTTTAAATCTTGTCGTGTTTCAGAAGGAAAAAAATTTCACGTTTTTCTGATGACAAAAATTTGCTTAAAAATGACAATATGCATGGGAGAAGGGGGTTTTATATTAATTCGTGACTCAGTGACTTCACATTTCGAGCCTTTTAACTCTTTCTTTATGATTCAACTTGGTTTCTTGTCACTTTAGATTATTCAAGGGACTAGACTTCACAATACAAATATAAACGGTCACATTTTTAATCAGATCCTTATCATAACTTGACACCAATTCTAACTTATTATATTCCTCATTTTTAATCAGATGAGTTGCATCTTTTTATGCTTCAGCATATCTTCCCCATTCCATTTCCTCAAGAAAGAGAGGGGAAAATGTTCACACAAGTCAATGAATTATGCCGCTTGAGACCAACCTTGGGTGAAGAGAGGGTGATGAAATGTGGGTAGAGATTAAAAGTTTAAATCTTCTTGATGTAGAGAACAAAATACCCGCGCAACAAACTATTCTCTTTAATTATGTACATCGAAACTATTTTTTGGTGGGAATTCCTTACTGTCAACAAGGATATTTTAGAGAAAGTATTTTAAATTTAAAAGACAAAATGAATTGAAATCTTATATTTATAATCAAATCTAATCTCTGACTAGTTTTTATATTAATATCCAGAGATAATATATTCTACAATACTTTTTTATCCTAAATATAATAGTCAAATAAAAGACTTATGTTTACCTTAAATATCAAATTTCAATCCCTTAAAAAAAAAAAAAAGGGATCTTCACATAAGAGATTAAAAGTTTAAATTTTTTTGAGGGATCACAAAAATATATTCTACGATAATAAAGAGTAACTTTATTAGGCAATGTTATTGTCCCCAAGACCTCAAGTATATTGTATGTGTTATGAATACAAAATCAACATGGATATAATAATATCTTTAGTTATCTTCTTTATTATAAATTTATAAGCCTATATACTTATAGATAGATTATACCTTAGTCCCATTGCCTGCCTCATCGAAAATTTATCTTATTATCTCCTCACGGTTTTTTTATCTTTTTTGTTCTAGTTTTATTTTTCGTAGCATCTAATTCTATTATTTCTTGTTTTCCCAACTCTTTTTATTATTTCACATCTTCTATCATTTATTATCCCAGGTCTCTATACCAATAATATTTTAAACGCAATCCACAGTTGTAATCAACTTAGGTTTTTTCTCTAAGTTCCCTATACCAATAAGATTTATACGATTTCTAATATTAAAGAAAATGAGACATATAACGTCTACTTATATTATTATTTAAAATTGGTCAATCTTTTTTTCAATTTTTAATAGTTTGCGTGCTAAAAGAGCCTAGACAGACATATCAGTCCTCATGTAAACAAGTAAACAACAAATAGAAGAATTAGTTAGAAGCAAGTAACAAGGGAGAATTTTGTTTAAAAACATGACAACATATTTATATATAAGAACCTTAATTTTTTTTAAAAAAAATTATTCTAGAGGAAGGTGCTTAATTTGTAATGATTTAATGTCCCCGGGAATAATAATTTATGTCTTTTAAGAGTGAGACAAAAGAAATTTAATACTAAAATAAAGGAAACTTGATAGTCATATATAGAAAATTCAGCAGTTTGAAATTTCTCATATGTGACTATGAAATGTCTTTTTGTTTCTTCTACTGAATTCCCTAAACGTAATTAATAAACAAGATAAGTTATTTGTCTCATAGCCATTTTACATCATTGCACATTTTTTAAGAGAAAACCTTCGTCAATGATTCTAAAAATTTAAGATTCTTACTTGTCACTAACTTATAATATTGATCTTTAGGCATACTTTTCCACTTTAATATTATACTATTATATGAACTTTTTGGCGTTTCTTTTGCATTAGACATAATTTTTTAAGCTTTAATTAGTTCTCTGAACAAAAGCGTAAGCTTGTGGAAATGCCCTTTTTTACACTCCACACGTTTCTTGCTCATCAAGCTAAAAGCGAGTCAGCAACCCTTAAAAAAGTCAGTTATTTTAATGTTCAATAATGTCTTGTTCGGAGTAAATTATGTTTCTTTATCGTGTTTGCTGGTTCCTTGTCCACCTGTGATGCAGTGGTATATAGTTTTGTTTTTTTCCCCTCTCAAGAGAAGATGGAAAATTGTTTATCTTTTTCTACGTTACTTACATGTTATAAATCATAAATTATTCTCTGGGTAACCAACCAGAGTATGCGAAACAAAAGATGTCGTTATAATGTCACTCTTTGGAAAATTAAAACAACCAGAAGATTATCAAGATTATATATAAAGCCAACAAGTCTGAGTTTTACTAAGCAACAAGCAGTATCTTTCTGCTAGTCTGCTTTGAACTTGCAGGGGAAAATGTCACTAATCTAGAAAAGTAAGAAAGAATGGCAGAAAGAGCAGTGAATTATCTTCTTGAAAAACTTATGCCCTTCTTTGAAAGCGAATTTAAATTGTTCACAAGGGTTGGAGAAGATGTGGAGCACCAGAAAGATAGATTGGAGCTGATCAGATCCTTGTTAAGGGATCCAGATGATTTGGAAGACGGTGATGAGGAGCTCAAAATTTGGGTTAGACAAGTGAGAGATGCTGTTCACGAGACTGAAGATCTTCTGGATGAATTAGAGCTTCTTCAGATACATAATCACTCAGATGGATTCTCTGTTTCTCTTAGGAAGATTTCTTGCTGTATCAGAAACATGAAAGCTCGATATCGGATCGCCTCTGAATTGAAAGACATGGATTGCCGAATGAGAAATATTTTGTCAGAGCACCGGAGATTCATCAGTAGATATGAAGCTTCTGTTCATGCTTCAAATTCCATTTCTGCAGGTACTGGATTTAACCCCCTTTGACTTTTGAAGATTTTGTTTGTTTATCAGGGAAAAGGGGGATAAATATGGTGTTAGATAAAACATTAAAACCCATCTTTAGATTTTTTTTTTTTTTTTTTAATTCTCTCAACAAACTCAAGCCTTTGGGGTTAGCTGGTTGATTTGTAGAAGTTTCATCGATTAGTTTTAGGTTCTGAAAGCTAGTACTATGCTAAAGGGGGAGGCGTGTTTGCTGATATTAACACTTCATTTGTAAGAATAGTATGCTAAACTATCTTATTAAGCAGATAACACATGGAATGATCAAAGAGGGGATGCTCTTCTCCTGGACAATAATGATCTAGTGGGCATAGGCAGACGTAAAAATAAGTTCATCCAGTGGTTGGTTACAGGTTGTTCCAGCCGCAGAGTAATTTCTGTAACTGGAATGGGAGGACTGGGGAAGACAACCTTGGTGAAGAAAGTATATGATGACCCAGAAGTAAAAAGACATTTCAAAACCTGTGTCTGGATTACTGTTTCTCAATCTTCTAGTACTGAGGAACTTCTTAAAGACACAGTTGAACAACTTTTTTACGAAATAAGACAGCCAGTTCCAAGAGGCTTGGAAAGCATGAGCACCGTTAAGTTGAAGGGGATTATCAAGAAGTTGCTGGAGAGAAGGAGATATCTGGTGGTGTTTGATGATATGTGGCACATGTATGAATGGGAAGCTGTCAAATATGCATTGCCTAACAACAATTGCAGCAGCAGAATTATGATCACCACAAGAAAAACTGATTTAGCCTATATGTCCAGCTTTGAATCCAAAGGCAAGGTCTATAACATGCAATGTTTGCCAGAAGAGGAAGCTTGGGATCTATTTTGCAGAAAAACATTTCCTGATCATTCATGCCCCTCATATTTGGTGTGCATATGCAAGAGTATCTTGAGAAAATGTGAGGGTCTTCCCCTTGCAATTGTGGCCCTCAGTGGTATTTTGGCTACAAAAGACAGGTGCGCCATAGATGAATGGGACATGATTTGCCGCAGCATTGGAGCTGAAATTCAAGGCAATGATAAGCTTGATAATTTGAAGAAAGTACTTGGTCTCAGTTTCAGTGATTTGCCTCACCAGTTGAAGCACTGTATCTTGTACTTGAGCATCTTCCCTGAGGCCTATCTGATTAAGCGGATGAGATTGATTCGGTTATGGATAGCAGAAGGATTCATTGAAGCCAAAGAAGGAAGAACAGTCGAAGAAGTTGCAGAGGATTATCTCAAGGAGCTGTTGAACAGGAACTTGATACAAGTAGCAAAGACAACATCAGATGGAAGAGTCAAAACTCTCCGCATCCATGCCCTTCTGAGAGAAATCCTCATTTTGAAATCCAAAGATCAAAACTTTGCGGCCATTGTCAAAGAGAAAAGTGCAGCATGGCCAGAAAAGACTCGACGCCTTTCAGTGTTTAGTTCATTGCCAAAAGGACAGCATCAAAGGTCTGTTTCCCAACTTCGTTCCCTTTTCATGTTTGGAGTTGCAGAGAAATTGTCCCTTCACAAATTGTTTCCAGGTGGTTTTAGATTGCTTAATGTTTTAGATCTTGAAAAAGCACCTTTGAGGAAGTTTCCAGTACAAATAACTAACCTATATCATTTGAAGTATCTGAGTTTAAGAAAAACAGAGGTGAAAATCATTCCAAGTTGTATTGGGAAGTTGCAGAAGCTAGAAACACTGGATGTCAAATACAGTTCTGTCACAGAATTTCCTGCAGACATAACAAATCTTCACAAACTTCGCCATCTCCTGGTATATCATCATCGCTCCAAAGTAAGAAGTTATGCAAAGTTCCATTCCAAATGTGGTTTTAAGGCCTTCCATGAGATAGGAAATCTACAGTCACTACAGAAACTTTGTTTCATAGAGGTAGATCAATGCAGCAGCACTACAATAAAGCAGCTAGAAGGGCTAACTCAATTGAGGAAGCTAGGCATCTTGAAGCTAAGAGAGGAAGATGGCAGGGCTTTCTGTTCATCGATTGAGAGGTTAACTAATTTACGTGCACTCTCAGTTACCTCAGAGGGTAAGAATAAGGCCATTGATCTAAGGTTCCTATCCTCACCTCATCCATTTCTTCAGCGCTTGTATTTGTCAGGACACCTGGATGAGCTACCAAAATGGATACCTTCACTCCACAGCCTGGTCAAGCTATTTCTGAAATGGAGCAATTTAAAACATGATCCATTGGTATATCTTCAGGATTTACCCAACCTTGCACATCTTGAACTCCTTCAAGTTTGTGATGGCCACATACTGTGTTTCAAATCTGGAAAGTTCAAGAAGCTTAAGGTTTTAGGTCTTGACAAGTTTGATGAACTCAGACAAGTGAATGTGGAGGAGGGTGCAATGCCTTGCCTGGAAAAGCTTATCATCCAGCGCTGTAGACTGCTAAAGAATGTGCCATCAGGCATACAATACTTGACTAAGCTAAAAATCCTTGAGTTTTTCGATATGCCTGATGAACTGATCATGACATTATATCCAGATGGAAGAGGGGAAGATCACTGGAAAATAGCACACATACCAGAAGTCTATTTCACCTACTGGAGAGACGGTGGTTGGGATGTTTATACATTAGAGGGTTTCAAAGAGAGTTCTCCTCGATCAGGTATTGTCATGAGAAGCCATGAACATCGCAATCTATGGAAAGTGTGATTGCAGATTGCATTATATACAATTGCTAAGTCTCATATCTGTAAATCACATTGCACAGAAGCCAGATCATCAAATAAAGGTTTATGTTTTAGTTCACCTTCATCTAAGATTTAACAGAAGACTCATTGTATCTGTTATCATAATTCTGCGGAGTGTAATGGACTTGTAAATTCAATGAATAAATCCCATACTTCTTTTTTGTTCTGACTCTGGATGGACTGCACTATAAGCTGACTGGCGATGCAATGATGCATCCATTTATTTTTCTTCCCTTGAGTTTGGCGATGTGACTTGATCCTCACAAAACACAGCAAAATTTGCCTTATTAATTTGCAAGAATGAATTTATGTTTTGGATTCAGTTACTGCTAAAGTATAATAAATGATCAAAACTCTAGGTAACACAATTAATAGGTGTCAGGGGCTATACCCTATGAGTGAGGAAGTCAAGACAGAGTCTGGAGGGCCTATTTACCTTCAGATGACAAAACTATTTAAGTATTTCCTACCTTACAGACATCTAAAAATTTTGAAGAATGATTGCACTGTTCTTTACTTCCACAAGATGGTTTCGTCTTTCGTTCTTGACTTTGAAATGCCAACCGTGGCATTCTAATTTCTCTGTCGTGTTGTTTCATTATTTTTTGCTCCTTAATCTTCTACACAAGATGACAAACTAAATCGAAGATGGTCAAAAAGACTGGGTGCAACAAAATTATTATAGAAAACAACTCAGAAATTATGGTTGTCGTGTTAAGCAATTTACTTAATACTAAGGGGGTGCTTGGGAATGCTTAAAAGTGCTTCTAAGAAGCACTTTTCTGTAAAACGAGACAAACTCCTCCACATATTTATTTCGTAAACCGTAAAAGCACTTTTAAAATCATGGTTTGATTTACATCTAAACATCCTCTAAGTTGGACAGCATATTCTCCAAAGGTTCATTAAAGGATCCTTTGATTAGAAGTGGCAGCTTTTCTTTGTTTTTTTTTTGTTTTTTTTTTTTTTTTTGGTTCTGCTTTTTTCCCGGACCTTGTTTCTTTTTGTTTTCCTTGCTGTTTTGCTGTGTCGTTTCTTGCACTGTATTCCTCTGTCGCTGTTTCTGTTTTGTTTGCTTCTCTCCTTGGAGCTGTGTTTCGTCTCTGAGTAGTAGCATTCTATTGTGAAGCCAAAAAAGAAAAAGGATCCTTTATACTTATAGGAAACAGAATTCTTCTCTAGACCTATTAGCTAATTTGATTTTTATTCAGAAGAACACTCAGATTTTCTTTGATCAATTTGAATAATCTAATCAAGCCTCTATTTAAAGTACAATGATAGTTTCTGCCCCACGACCTTTCTTTAGTAAATTCCATTGTTGGGCTTGGACTCTGTTTTGCCAGCAAAGGAAAATAGGACGTTAACCACGTTACATGCTTGGATAAACAGGTGCATCTCAATTACGCAGTCATTTAAGTTACTTTTTTGTAACAGAAGAAGTCTTACCTTTTTCTTTTCACTCGTGGTTTGGACTTTGTAATTTAGAAATATGTAACGTCTTGAGTGAAATGTAGATAAAATATCAACAAATTAAGTCAAACTGAACTAGTCCACAGATCGAACTAACTTATTCTAAACCGAAACCAGAAACCATGTCGTATATGTTGCTAGAAGTCTCGTGATAAGCTCAGACAAGAATTCTTTCATTCACGTAAAGATACCACTGCGGACGACCAAATTATGAACATTGACTAGTCAAAATTTTCTATAGGGCACATTGCAGATTGCAACTACATGTTATCTGCTAATCCATCAAAAATTATAGTGCCCAGTTAGCCAAACCGCTCTGCACCGCTCTTATCGCAGGTCCATATAATATGGATACAAAATTATCAGGGGAGAAACACTACTAGAAGTCATCCCCTAAATATGTGAATACCCTTTTCTTAAAGACACGGCCCAGATCAACGATTTCGGTTTCTCTTGTATGATTTACCATGCTGTTATGTCCCTTCATTGTCCTACATTTCCAGGACAATCTGTTTGCAACATCAATTGTTAAGCTGGCCATATCTCTGGTCCTTGTTAAAACTTGCAAGACGGTGGCAGAGTATGAAGGACTGGACACTAGCCTGTTGAGCAATATTAGTATCTCCCGCATCAGAAATGTCCTGAGAACAAATTGCTCAATTGAGTCAAAGGAAACCAAACGCAGAAATTCTTGGCACCTAAATGTGAAAAATGTGAATCTAATGAAAAGAAAGCCAGGATTTTATCAATATCTTAATCTAAACTCCTCCGGAAGAGTAATAGGAAGCAATAGCATTTTATTCATTTTAAACAAATGCATGAACTTCACAGAACTATAGAAATTAATCTCAGGGAAGGTTAAGTAACATTGAAGATCTTTCCAAGAAAGTAAAAGGAAAATTATCAATGCAAAAGGAGGAGGACAAACAGTTTTCAAGTTTGTATCCGGTTTCCCATCACCTATGATATTATTACCTCTCCCTGAAAATCTCTGGCAGCTCCTCAACAGCTTTAGCTTCTTGATCAACCTGTGATGCCAGTACTTGCAAAATCAGCAACAGATAGTTTGTTCCTCTGGAGAGCCGATGACCGACAAGAATGTCAAAGCCAGCTTTTCCAGACGATGCAAGGAATGCCAGCACAAGAATAGCATTTCGGCGTAGTTTCAACACCTAAAATTACAAGAGCATAAATTTTAAGTTATATTCGGTATTTGATATGACCCAAACTCCCAGTGCCACTAGAACATGTAGAGAGGGCCATAGGCGAGGGGCAAAAAGACAGAAAATAAGGATATATTGGTCCAAAGGAAAACGAAGGTTTAGAAGTCAGAAAAAGCAGAAAACAGAGGAGAAAAATAAGGGAATCGCGATGAATGGATGGATGTCAGTGGGATATATAAAAATGAAGCGCAGGGAAGGTTTAAGGCAGAGAAGAAATTTGGAAGTGTGGTTTGGGCGTTTGGGCGGAGTACAAACCTCTTGAAAGTTTGGCAAACCCGTTTTGTTTTAGAGGATTTGTAGTATATGTGTGTGTGACTTGTATCTTCTGTTGGTTATCTGTTGTGTAGTAATCTGAAGCTGTAATCATTATCCTTCCTGTGTCAGTTCCATTTGTGTGTCTGTATATGTATCAGAGTTGTGTTTTATCTCTGAATGTAATTGTATTTTAGCTCTTAATTTTATCTTCGCGTGTCAATCGGTTGTTGATATAGGAAGGGTTCGGAAGTTTTTGGTTAAAGGTCCTATCAGTACTAAAATTCGTCTTAATGTATTTTTTTCCCCAAATGAAACAAGTGGTCGCATTTTATTAAATAATAAACAAGTATAGCAGTTAATCATCACTATAAATGACTAAACGTATGGGCTGCAACTGCAGTTCCAATCATGCAACCACATGCCAGATATCAATGTGCCCGTACATATCATAGCATAATTTCTCAATAAACCTTATTTCATTGATGCACCCACTCCCCTGAATTCTCATTTCCCACACTCTTCTCTACTAGGTAGCAATCAATGAGCTATGCTGATTGTATCCTAGAAAGAGTAATATAACAGTAAGGTGATTGGTGGCAGCAGAGCTAAAGTATTTTTAAATTTTCTCACCAGAAGCCCCTTGAGCAACCCAGAAGCAAATAAATGATTTTCTCTTTGCCCCTATTTCAGATGCACAGAGACCAAGACCCACGCTCGATACAAGCATTTTTTGGAAAAATAACAAGAAAATTTTTATAATTTGATTATTGATTTGATATATCAAAATAATTCATGGACAAAATGGGCTTCTCAGTGAACAAGCTTACCTGTAATCCACTTCCATGGGATGCAACACAATCTGCCAAACCTTGAAGAATGATATTGAATTTTGGGGAACCTGAGGTAGATGTATTGTCATCCATGGCACTAGCGCACTCTCCCTCTTTGCAACCACAACAGAAAGTAACCAGTAGTTTTGGACCTTTAACACAAAATGACTTGTTTGAAAATCATAAGATTGGGTGTATCCACACTAGGAGTTGAAGTTAATTTGCTTTTTTTTTTTTTTTAAGGGGGTGGGTGCTGAAATAGCTAAGATTTATTGAGATTTGGAAATTTATATAACATCCAAGCTAGTAGTGGGCAAATAATCACTGTGTTTTGTCTCTCTTGATTCAACAAATCAGAACAAGTAAATGACAGGTTTTCATTAAATCACTTTCATTATAATAGCTAAAGAATAGCACAAACAAAATAAAAACTAATGACCCCAAAAAAAGGACACTAGCATCAACCTATGTAGCTTTCCATAATAACAAAGGTGCAAACTTACAATTTAAAAGTAGGTACAAAAGTCTCAGGGCATGCTGTTTCACACGTAACCCAACATCCCTTTTAAGCAACTGTGAAATGGTGTCAAATGCCATTTTCTGTCCGAACCTGTATGGCCACAAATTTCAGGTCCCATTGACATTTTTCATACAATTTCATCAAAACTTTCAGATGATAGTACAACCTCAAAAGCTTACCGCTCCCTATCAATGTAAGCATTACTTCTTAGAAGTATCACATTCATGATGGATACAGCTTCCACTCTCACACTTTCCTCCGTCATCTTCATAGCAATATGATGCATTACTTCAAAAAGATAAACCCAATCTATTTGAGGCTGCAAGGAACTCCGATGGTTCAAACACCTTCTTTTGCTCAGCATTCCTACATCAAACAATTCTGGCTGGAGCTGATCGCACCCTGCATGAGATGTCTCATTGGTGTGCATATAAGAGTTTTTTTCATCTTTCGCAAGTTCAGGTCCACAAGAATCAACAATATTGTTCTCCAAGCAAACTCCCTCAACAAGCACATTGTCCCTGAGTAAAGTGCACTGGAAAGATCAAATCAAAAGTTCATAAGAACAGGAATTAAACAAAAACGAAGGGAAAAATGAGTGACTAAACAAGACATAAAGCCCATGCACTAGCTTATAACCAACCCTAGACTCCCTTTCCCTAGTTTCCTTTTCTTTTTTAGGGGAAGAAGACAAAAAGAATAAGACACTAGCTTACAGAAAAGAAATTTGTGTTGATTACGTAAATGTCAAATCAAAGGAAAATGAATTGTTAATCAGTTGGGTTCAGCAGTGTTTTTGGCAAGCAGCATGACTAAATCTAAAAAGATCTTAACAAATTAACATCTCACTAGATTAAGGGTGCTTTTTGTCCAAAATTTGAGATGAGCTGCACCATTTATAGCTTATGTATAGTGCATGTTCATATAAATTTTATATTTTACAGAGAATACATAGATATGTAGATTCCCCCTCAAAACTTTTAAATCATCGTCTTTAAGTTTCTGTAAACACCAAGTAAAATAAATTATAATTATCATGATACAGATAAAGAAAAAAGTGATTAATTGAAACTGTAACCTTATGATGATATGCAAAAGCAATGCAATTTTAATAAAAGCAACAGAACAAATAACCCAAAATGAGGCATACCTTCTTACGGAGTAATTTTCCAATTCCAGTAGGAGTTTCAGATAAGTATGCAGTATGCATAGAGAGCTATGGACAACAACAACCTGTGGTGAAAGCAATAAATTTGTCAAAGTCTATACATTGAGGAGAAAATAAGAGGAAAAGAACACCTATTAAAAATACAAAAACAGTTAACTTAAGAAACCAACGTGGTAATGTAATCAAGCATAACCAAAGGACTTGTCAATTCTGAGCTTGTGAACAAGAGGAAATTTTAACATTTATTCACAATCCAGTCTAGAAATACTTACATTTTTAACACTACAAAGGTCAAGTAATGGTTCAAACAAAGTTTCCAACACAGCTGTCCCTTCAGTTATCTGCAATACAAATCAACAATTGGATTAGAACCAACAACCATACTTGTTGCGATAAACATGTTTAATGTGAGCGAATCCATGACATGTATAAATAACTCGGTGGTTGAGCTCTTAAACGCCCAAGCATCTTGAAACCAAATCAATGATCTGGAATAAAAATGATATTCTAAGCATTGGGAAACCGAAAACCGTCTACAATTTCAAGCCATTGATTATGCACTAGTTTTCGTGCCCAAAAAAAGCGCAGTCAAACCTAATGAACAGCACCTACTGTTAAGGGAAGCTTTGGACACTATAAGACCACCATTTGTGATAGTGACTTAGTTGAAACATGAATTTAAATATTCATGTAAAAGGCATTAAAAAAGGTAAGGCATAAAACCAATGCCAAAGTCTAGTATCAACTTCAGACCAGCCCAATCCGTAGAAAATCCCATACGCCAGCACTAATCTCCATCTAAATTCTCATATTGGCATTTCTCAATAGCATGTGACATTCACATTTATAGGGGTTCAATTGAAATTTATCTGCAATTATAAATGTGTAGAACATAGTGCTTTCTATGTATGTATGAGTTAAATTCAGTGATGATGAACTCATTGAATTAATTACCGATCACAAAAATCCCCTCTTTCATTCTAAACTATCACAATGCCAAGAACCCAAATTCAAAACTCACAATTTGGAGATCAAACCATTAAAGAAATACTGATGAACAGCAAGTTCTAGACTCACATCATTTTTCAAACAAACTACTTCTGCAGTATAAAAAACCTCCATTTGAAAAAATGCATGACCATGTGAGATAAAGTATAAACTGCTGCTTTAGAAAAATGCACAAACACAAAGTTGACCAGCTACCTTTGTCAACATATGGTAGAGTTGTGACACTTTTATTGCTTCTGGAGTATGAAAACAGTCCTTCATATACTGCAATGCTACTCCAGAAGAACTTATATCTGTAAGAAATTTGGTTGTTATTTTAGAGGGTAGATTTATGGGCATCAACCCAAAAAGAATATGAAAATCTCGTTGACAGCCCACAAGCAATTTGGATGTCACGTTGCTTCCTAGCTTTTGTTCACCCGATGAGCCCCAAATTGCCAGCAACTTCTCAGAAAGTTCAAGACAAGCCGGCACATCATCATTCAGAATATTTTGAGCTTCCTTCTGAGTGTCTATGTCTGTCTGAACTCCTGTAGCTTTATAATTAGACCCAGCTACCACCAAAAAAACAAAATATAAATAAATAAATCATGACAAGGCCATGTCAGAAACTAACAAAAAACGTCATCTGAAAGGGAAGGAGGGACTCTTCTCATGCCTTACCAGCCTGCACTTTTGAAGGTTGTCTATTGTGAATTTTTTGAGAGATGCCATGACGATCTGAAGCAAGATTTCTCCATTCCCTGCCATCATGATCATTAGAATTTGTACAGATGCTACAAGAAAACATATTAACACAAATATTAATAATTACAGGTCATTCTTGACAGGTCACTCATCTTTTCAAGGACTAAATTCAGTCTGAACTAATAAATAAGTCAACTCATGCATTCATTTTAAAATCTAAAGTGGTCTCTTATTTTAAAGAGCATTCATTAAAATACAACTTTTGGTGGCTATCTATAATAAGTTCCACACGCTTTCACGTTAGATCATCAATATATGACACAAACCTACAAATGAATATCCCCCAGTCGTCAGAGGAAAACTAGAAAGTATGTCATAACTCATTATTTTAAGCTTCAACTAAAAGATTACTGACTGACAAGCTGGCTATTCCTTTCCAACAGTTTCCTATTCAGTAACCAGAACTGCAGGATAGGAACATTAGTAGATAAAGATTAGAAAGGAAACCATATGTTTGACTCACATGTTTATACTCTTTGACTGGTTCGCATATTCATTTTCTTCTTCATTCTTTGAAGCCACAAACTTGAGCTGCTCATCTTTCTTTTCTCTTTGTTTCTTTAATTCAAGACACTCCTTTTCCTGAAGGTGTATAGTTATTTACGGAATCCAAACATCTTACTGAGTTAGAGATCCTTAAACCATCTGTAAAAGTACAGTGGGAAAAAAGAAAAGAATGTTGCATCAGCAAATAAAAACAGTGAATTTATATTGATACGCCAACATACCAGGAGAGCAAGCTGCTTCGATGCTTGTCCAAGCTCCCTCTGATTTTACCATCAACCAATTAGCACAAATGATTCAGTGTAAGAAAAGCTTGAGTGAATTTTAACAAATCGAAGTGATTGACCTAATCTAAAGGTGTATGTAGTATGGAATGGTTCCTTTTCCTTCCTTTGTCATAGGCAAATTGCCAAAAATAAAACTAAGACATAAAAAATGATCAGAAATAGAAGCTCTTTCCAAGCCAACTATTCAGGCAATGTTCATTCAAATGTTTTCTGGTGGAGACTGCGGTCTGAAAAAGAAGATGACTTAGACTTACAGAGAGCCATGAAACATATTTAACTGGCTTTCTCAGGCTTCCTAAGGCTAATGGTTAATACAAACAGTAACGAGGGACCGCGTGCAAGAACCGCCACCATGAGACCCACCAATAAGTAGAATTCAACAACATATACAATCAACAACTCATTATCATCCATGCACAAGTTCCCTGATTGTGCACGCGATACAACAATTCGTTCAAAGCCAATACATCAGTTTGTTTGTTACCCAAGGACAAAGCAAGCCTCACCTTTAACCGCTCGATTTCATCATCTTTGTCTTTATCGGGTCGTCGTGCAATCGGAGCAACCGCAAGAGAAGGGCATTTTGCAGGGCGACTCGGAGAGTGTTGAAAAGAATCAAAATCCGTGCTCCTTTGAGAGAGCTCTCGTGGGGGCGAGTAACTAACATCATTATAGGAGGAAGAAGCCGCGAAAGAATGCGGCGGTTGTTGGAGGTGGTGGCGGCGTGATTGAGGCGGTTGTGAAGGGGCGTGCGAAGTGAATGAAGAGGTCGGAGGAGGCGGAGGAGGAGGATTATGGGAATGAGGAGGATTGGAACTTGGTTTTGCAATAGAAGAGAGAGCAAGTTCTTCCACCTGGATTAATTGGTCCAAGAAAGCGTCTTCCCAATCTTCGAATACGTCTTCACTCTCATCCATCATCTTCGTCTTTGCTCGATTTTTCGAAGTTCACTTCGCGGCCTCGGAGCAGTGAGGGCATATGGTGAAGTTTCGGCCCTTCCTAGTTTGCACTGTCCCTGTCTTTCGAATTCTTTTCTTAAAAAAGTCTATTTTAATTGTATTCTTTTATGGGCCTGCGACTTCTAAATTACACCCTCTTCGCCCTTAAGTTACACATTTTTTGTGAAGGCATCGTATGTTGTCGTGACCTTCTAATAAGTTCTCAGGAATCAATGGGACTGCCATTTCTCACTGTGTTCTAAAGCTGAACTTTTTTAAATTCACAACTCTGAATTAAGACCTATTTGGATTGAAATAGCTTATAAATATACAAAAAGAGTTATCTCAACTTACATAAAACGTGTTTATAATCGTGATTCCAAATAAAACGTTAATAGATACAAGATACAAGTCATTATTGTCTGCTTATAACCTAGTAGGAAATTTGTCATTATTTTAGGATTTTTCTCACATATCTATTAAAGTCGTGTCTTTAGCTTCTTTTCTTAGCTTCTTTAGCAATTCTATTTGCACTTTAATTTAGTGTACTATGTAAAACTCTTAACTTCTTAATATTATTTGGTCTTATTCCCAAAAAAGTTGCAACATTTTTATTATATATTTTTCATCCTAAATTTGTTTTTATCTTAAATATAATACCTCAACTTATATTATCTTTTAAGTTTATACTCCTCCGATTCTAAATATAATACCTCAACTTGTATTATCTTTTAAGTTTATACTCTTCCGATTCTAAATATAATACTCATTTTATAATATGATTTACACTATAAAATGAATTTTATGTTTAGGACTAGAAAAAAAAAATTTAATTCTCTCTATTTATTAAACATATTAAGCAAATTTTAATTTTTAATGCAAATAATTAAAGATATATTATAAGTAAAATCAACCTACATTTTTATTAATAGCTGGATTATTTTTTTAATTTTTATAAATTAGTTATCTAACTTTTAGATCTAAAACCATTATATTAAATTAAAATTAAAATCTAGTCAAATCATCCGGTGACGTTGTAAACTGTAATATACTGGTTCAAGTAAAACGGGTAGTGTGGATTTGCACCAGTTTGCACATTTTTTATGAGAAATCAAATCATATAACACCTCTGTTTGTTAATATCAAGGTTAAATAATTAACGAGTGGATATTAAAAAAAATTAAATTAGTTTTTATAATAAATTAGTATTTTTTTTTTTTTAAATTCTTACTAAACATATTGAAACGACATTTTAATGAAAAGCCCCATGAGAATTATTTAGAGATAAAAATAGATAATATGAGAAACTATTATATTTAAGATCAAATTAATTCTACAATTAGTCTTATATTAAGGTGGTATTATTAAACTATGAAAAATAATTTTACAGAGCTGGGCAACTGGCGATTAGGACTTTGATGTCTTCCTACAAGATTGTGTTGGTAAATCCAGAACCAAGGGGAATTACGAAAACATCAGAAACAACATGCTATGATGCAACGGCGAAAATCAACGCATTTATGATAACAAGTCGTTGTATTCGCAGGATATCCATCTTGACAAGGATGTCCAGTGATAAGTGTTAGGAAAATCAATGCATTTTTTATAATGAGCACTAAATCTGTGAATATTTTTTAAAAAAATAGATGAATTAGTTATTTGAAATAAATTTGTATTAATTTTTCTTAAATACATTATTTAATCATGTACATTAAAACTATTCTCTATGAAAACCTCCTTCATATGGGTAATAACTTGAAATACTTTGGAAGAAATTATAAAATTAAAAGATAAAGTGAATTGAAACCGTTTACTACTTCTTGTCCTTAATATAAGAGTTAGATAGGAATTGTGTTTGGTCAAAATATAATATTTCAATACACTTTGTCTTATGCTTTTCTCAAAATATCTATATTGATTGTAGAAGATTTCTACTAAGAGATAATTTTAATCAATGTATATGATTGAATATGATAGTTTAAAAAGATCAACACATATTTATGACAAGTAACTAACTTAAATAATTTTCTTAATATCATCATATTAATTATCTAGTTATTATATTAAGAATTGAGAATAGCATCTAAAATTAAAATGGAAATAATAGTTGTATCCATAAACCATTCGTCTTGATAGGGGACTGACATGTCCTGTGATACAAAACGGAGTCTATTTTGGAGTTCTTGTTAAAATCTTTTGAAGTTGAAAGATCAAGATCCAACAAGCAGGATACGAAGAATAAACGAAGTTTTCTCCCTCGGATAGCACGGGCATGAGAGCCGTCCCCCCCCCCCCCTTTTTTTTTTTGGACTGCGAGGAATTGCATGATTCTCACAGATAGCATTCCTTATCATCACTTGACATGACTCAGTACTACAAAATGAATTGGGTTAATATAATTTTTGTGCTCTAAATTTTTCATCTTGTTTTGGTTTCTTAAATTTCTTTTTATTTATAATATTAATTCTTATAATTTAATAAAAATTTAGACTATTTTCTCCTTGAGAGACCAAAACTTATGGTTTGAAATTTAAAAATCAAAACCAAAATAAGGGACAAACTTGAGAGACCAAAAATTATACTCCTCCGGTCCTAATTATAAGACCCAATTGACTTATTTGAGGAGATTAAGGAAGGAAGTTAAGTTGGTTATTTATAATAAATAAGTGTTGTGATTCTAAAATATCCTTGCTAATTAAGTACTCCTCCGGTCCTTATTATAAGACCCAATTTGACTTTTTATTTGGTCCTAATTATAAGACCCAATCCATTTTCTCTTTTATATTTATGCATTTTTTTCCAAGATAATCTTTCTAATAATGATAGTTTTAGCCAATATACTTAATTAGCAAGGATATTTTTAGGAATAACAACACTTATTTATTATAAATAACCAACTTAACTTACTTCCTTAATCTCCTCAAATAAGTCAATTGGGTCTTATAATTAGGACCGGAGGAGTATATTGGCTAAAACTATCATTATTAGAAGGATTATCTTGGAAAAAAATACATAAATATAATAGAAAAAATGGATTGGGTCTTATAATTAGGACCAAATAAAAAGTCAAATTGGGTCTTATAATAAGGACCGGAGGAGTATTAAGCAAATATATTTGATTTTATGAAAACAACTATAAGGAGTCAAAATGATAGAAACCAATAGAGATGAGAGAAATGTGGTAATCCTATAAGTAATCCAGTTAGTAATGGAGACTCCAAAACCAAGTTTGAGAGCAAGTGATGAGCCAACCCAACAAGCACGCCAAATAATTACTCTTATAGTCCTAAATGCAAAACATATTTTGTAAAATTGTAATATAATTTGTACTACAAATGGGTCTTACAATCAGAACTAGAAAGTGTATATATATCCATTAATATTAATATAGACTATAGCTTCATCTCTTCTCTTTATTCTACATTCGGTTCTTAATAATAGCTAGTTTGACTTTTAACTTAGTCCTAAATATAAGACCTCAATCCACTTTGTCTCCAATATTTATCTATCTTGGCTTCAAGTAATTCCTATATTAGTCGCATGCGTTAGGAAGTTAGTATCAACAGGTAATTCAAACATTCATGATTAATAAGAATATTTTAGGAAAATAACATTGGTTTACTATAAAACTAACTTAACTAACTTTTTTAATCTTCTCAAATTAGTCAACTAAGTCTTATTAGGGACAGAGGTAGTATTATATTTTCAATAATATCAACGTAGATTGTTGCCAAAGTATAATTATGACTAAGGTGATAGCTTCATGTATCATATACAGATCATATTTTATTATGGGATCTATGTGTTACATTGAGTGATTAAAAATAACTTAAATTAATTTGTTATTTTAATTTTAGCCGATTTATACTTTTGTTATGTAATCTGAAATTGATGATTAAGCACTTATAGTTTTGAAGTTTTTGCTAATGCCTTGACTTTAAGATGCTGTCGACTATTGAAAAGAATGAGATTTTGATTCCCTATAATATTTACTATAGTATTTTGTAATTTGTAATTATATCCAGCGTTTTTATGTTATTCGTAATTATTTTGAAGCAACAGCATAAGGATCGATTTTTTTCTTGTCTAAAAATAACTTGTTTCATTTTCACAGAGCCTTAGGCATCTGCATTGATGGCATTAAGGGCATTACATCTTGTTCTTCATCGTGCAATAAAAGAGATATAAAAAGAAAAAATTATTATGAGATTTAAAAATAAGAATATACTTACAAAATGTCTCAATAATAAATAAGCTGTATGAAACTTCTTGTCGTTTTTTTATCCTATAACTTATCATTCACTGGTCATGAGACTTCTTATTTATTTTTTAGTATCATACAGTAATTTTTCCTATATAAAAAGCATATATATTAAATATATTCGTTAATAATTATAGTTGTATGAAATAATTTTACCTTTTTAAAAAAATTCCTAAAATAAGTTAGATGGGTGATAAGATCTTCCCAGACAATGAGTGATGGATCATAATGAGCAACCTGGGCAGGAAGGCGAACGTTTGGTGGAATTGATTACAAAGACCTAAAATCTTGTGAACCAAATTTAAAGGGATGGGTCCAAAAGTAGTAGAGAGAAATGAGAATAAATAATAAGTGCAGTGGCAGTGATTAGCTGTATTAATTCATGCTTTTATTAAAAAAAAAAATCATGCTTAACACAATAGGTGGCCATATATTCTCATTGCCCTTTTCAAGACAGACAGCCTATATTTAATTATGAGAGCGACTGGCATTAATTTATATATATGGGGGAAGTTAATTTTTTTTATTGTACAGTTTGGGCATAATTAATTTGGAAGTGCTTATAATTTTATTCAA